GTTATCTTTGACTTTAAACACTAAAACATAAAATAACATCACTGAAATGTTATCTGTAAAAAAAAAACACTTTAATTTCTTTCAGATGTAGATTATATCACAGATTATTTTATTATAAAGGACCTGAGTTGAGAGTGTTAACTCGGGTAAATGTGTAAATATAAGCATCAGTACCAAAACTGCTATGATTCATCTTCAAAGGCAATAAAGTGCTCTTTGTCTGAAAATGTAACTGGTTATTGTTGCTTTATTAAGCTCATTGTTTTTTGATCAAAAAACTAATGTGCCCCCCTTCCCCCTTTATCTAATTTGACTGTTTTCACTGCAGATAATATTTTAAACATACATTTAGATGCAAGCAGTAATTGTTTTAAAAAAAACCTGGCTTACCATTTAAGTTGCCATTCTATTGTGTGGAAGCATAAACTTTTGAGACATTCCTCATTCTGGATACTTCTGACTTCCACTCCCCTTTGAAAAAATATTTATGCATAAACCCAGGTAATCTTTGTTTAATAGTGTATATATATTTTTTCTTTATCTGAATGATTTACAAGTCTGACAAAAAAATATATATATTAGTGGAAAAACACTTCTACTCATTATAATGGAATCTGGTTCAGTGTCTAATTTTAGGAAACAGCCCTTCATACCTCATAAAACACATCTCTTTTAAAGATAAGCTTCACCTGCAATTGTTTTTCCCCATGGTCATTGGCAAATCTTAAGCGAGTTCACTGCCATTTTATGGTTGATTACATCAGAAAATAGCATATTCAATTCAAAAATGTAATACTAAAATTATATATATTATAAAATCAGACTATAAAGTTGGATAGTAAAATATGAATGTTTTTTTTTCTACTTCTTATTTTTGGATGAAATTTCTAATAACTGATACCAGCAAGGTCATGAGGTCCCTGTGTTCTTGTAGCTTGGTAACGCAGTTATGTTATCACAGCTCTTTATATTTAACCATACAAACAAAAATAACAAGTTTAGTCCATAAAGTCCAACCACATGAACCTCTGGGATTCTGCCAAAAATTCCTTCTATTCTTTCTGGTTTCTTTTTGGTCACTACAACTTTAAAAGATATCTTGCCTTTATAAAAGACTTTAAATCACAAATTTTTAATACACACATTATATATAGATTAAATATTCAAACAACTTAAATGTTCTTTTTTCCCCCCACTGCTACCACCACAATCT